GCAGCACTGGAGGTTCAGACAGCTCTAACACTACCTCCTGTACTTCCTCCAGAAACAGTCCGCCCTCAGAGTTATTTAACTGCCGCGATGATCTGTGTTTATTTTCCAAGCAGTTCCTGCTGCTGGTGGGACTGGAGGCAGAGCCCTGACAGAAGGGGCAGGAGACGAGGCAGCTGCAGCCTGCACCGCGGTCAGGGGCTGGGATTTCCCGAGGCTGCCTCTCCTCTTCCCACTCCTTAGGCTGTGCTGTGCCAGGCTCAGGGCAGATGGGCAGCAGCCGTTGGTTACAGCCGGAGGCACAGCGCAGGGTGCAAAGTCCTGCCCCAAAACCTCGCTATCTGTGTGCCTGAGCCAGCTCTGGCCCTGCTGGGGCCGTGCAGGGCAGGCTGAGGTCCTGTGGTGATCCAGCACAGAATCCAGTGGGTGTTTTTGGCTTAGCACGTGACTTCTTGTAAAGGGAGTGCTTCAGCCCGGCCGTTTGAGCACTCTGTGCATTCCTGGGCTGCTGTTGGTGAGCTGCAGCATGCACTTCTGCTTTCTCTTTCTGCCTTCATGCTGCTCCTGATCGTCCCAGGGGACCGCTGCTGGGGCACTGGGGCCGTGAGCTGCCCACACCATGGTGTCGAGGCCTGGAGGGGAAGCTGGAGCTAGTCTTGGGGCTAGGGGGGCACACCAACAGCTGTCTGACACCGAGCCCAGATGAGCTGCTCCCGGCTCTGCGCAGGCTCTGTTAGAGTTGAAGCTGCCCAGCAGCATGGAGGACAATAAAAAAGGCTTTTTGAAGTAGATTAATGGGAAAAGGAGGAGCAGAGCAAAGGTTGGTCTGATGAGCATGGTCACCTCACAATGAGGGACATAGACAAAGCAGAGACATTCAACGCATTTTTCGCCTCTGCCTCTGTCTTGAACACCAATGATGGGCTCTGAGGCCCCAGCTACCCACAGCTGGGGGATGGCGAGAGCCAGCATGACAAACTCCCAGTTAACCCTGAACCTGTGCAGACTGGCTGCCCCACCTGGATGCGTACAAGCCAATGGGGCCTGATGGGATTCGTCCCAGAGTACTCTGAGAACTAGCTGGTGTCAGCTAGATCATTGTCATTGCCATTCAACAATATGAAGTTTAACAAGAGTTTGACATTTTTGGTCTGTTCTCCCACGTGCCTGGTGACAGGACGAGGGGGAATGGGCTTAAGTTGCGCCTGGGGAGTTTTAGGTTGGATGTTAGGAAGAACTTCTTTACCGAAAGGGTTGTTAGACATTGGAACAGGCTGCCCAGGGAAGTGGTGGAGTCACCATCCCTGGAAGTCTTTAAAAGACGTTTAGATGTAGAGCTTAGGGATATGGTTTAGTGGGGACTGTTAGTGTTAGGTCAGAGGTTGGACTCGATGATCTTGAGGTCTCTTCTGTGGAGGAATGGTTAAGTGAAGTAGGGCATGTGGATGTTGAGCAGTTAGGAGGCAATGGGCTAGTGAAGTACCGTACTTAACTCATATGAGCCTGGGCACGCACGCAGCTGGCTGAGAGCCAATCAGGCTCAAGGACACGATGCCCTTGAGCGATAGGGAAAGTCCCTAAGGCGGGACGGTAGCTAAAAGGAGGAGGAACTGACTGAAAAGCCCGGGAAGTGTTAGCCAATCCTGAGCTTAGTTTCTGCAATATGTATGAGTTGATTATGTTCGAACTAGATAAAAGGCGACTGAGCTATCCATTAAAGTTGAAGTTCACTGTTCACTCATATTGAGCGTCTGTGTCTTCCTTCTGTCGACAACACTCTTCCAACCTAGAAATTCTGTGTGTGTGTGAAGAGCAAGTGTTGGATTCTGCACCTGGGAAAGGGCAACAGAGCAACCCTGGTTATACAGACCGTGGGACGAGATGCTGGAGAGCAGCCAGAAGAAAGCGTTCTGGGGGTTTGGATCGACAGCAAACTGAGCACAAGCCAGCAGCGTGCCTTGGTGGCCAAGAGGGCCAACCGTATCCTGGGATGCATCAAGGACAGCACTGTAGGTCAAAGGAAGTGATCGTCCTGCTCTGCTCTGCGCTGGTGCGGCCCCACCTCGAGTACTGAGTGCAGCTCTGAGCACCACAGTACAAGAAAGATAAAAAACTGTTAGAGAGCATCCGAAGAAGGGCAACAAATGTGGTGAAGGGTCTAGAGGAGAAGACATATGAGGAGCGGCTGAAGTTGCTTGGATTGTTCAGCATGGAGAAGAGACGAGGGGAGGCCTCATGGCGGCCTGCAGCTCCCTCACGAGGGGAGCAGAGGGGCAGGCGCTGAGCTCTGCTCTCTGGGGACAGGACCCGAGGGAACGGCATGGAGCTGGGACAAGGGAGGGTCAGGCTGGGGGTTAGGGAAAGGGTCTGCACCCAGAGGTGGTCGGGCACTGGGACAGGCTGCCCAGGGATGTGGGCACGGCCCCGAGATTGATGGAGCTCAAGGGTCGTTTGGACACCACTGTCACACACAGGGGCTGGTCCTCTGGGGACCCAGGAGTTGGACTCAATGATCCTTGTGGGTCCCTTCTAACTCAGATATTCGATCATTCTATGATCAGCATGTTTTTCATGTCTGAGAGTCATAAATTAACAGAGCAGTTTGGTTTAAATTTCAGTATGTAATCAGAATGTGCATCACATCTAGGAGTCCTAAAAAGACTTTGTCAATTGTCCTTAAGGACCAACTGGAATTAAAATATTGACATATACGTATACATTCACACATACATGCATAAATACATCTATACGTTTATAGACCGTTTCTGGGATGGTAAATAACAAGGTCTGCCAGGTCCAGATAGGAAAGCAACCCCTTCCTCCCCCTCAGGGAGGAATTGCAAGTCCTGAAGTCAGAACAAGGTGTGCCCGGGAGGCGTTGGACCTGGCTGAGCAAAAGCTTATAAGTAATCAATGAGCACATACTGGTTATGTACTGAACGTGAAACCATACTGCTAAATTAATTTATCACTCACAGATGTGAAGCACTTACCAGTTACTCGCTTTGCAAATCACCATGAAAAAGGTTTTGGGTTTCGATCTTTTAAAGGGATGGCCTCTACACCAGGTCCCTGGGTGGCTGCAGGAGAAAACAGCACCCTCCCCATGAGGCTCCTGCAGCACCAAGGCACACGCGTGCCCTGGGCCACCTCGAAACCCTCCTGGCGGCACAGAGTTTCACCACTGCAGCAGAGGCAGTGTCCCCATGGAACCCTCGCAGCCACCACGAGGTGGCAGCGGCATTGGCGGTGGTGGTGGTGGCGGCGTTGGCACTGGCAGCCTGGAACATGGACCTCGTGGCATTAGGGGGCATACAAGGCGCAGGCAGCACCAGCTCCTCCCATGAGGACACCCGGCAGGGCCTGGCAAAGGACACGGAGAACCCCGTGGATCCCAATAGCAGCCCCCACCTGTCCAGACCCCCGAGCTGTGACACTGCGCTGCTGCAGCAGCATTCCCAGAGACAAAGGCTGTGGCTGCTGGCACCACTGTGCCCAGCACTGGTGCAGGCACAGGAGAGCACTCAGCCTCCTGGCACGGACACTCGGCAGCCTACGAATACCCATGCACCAGCCCAGATCTTGGTTTCGATCCCGTGCAGCTCTGGAGGTGTGACTGTGGGCTTAGTTGTCCACTTCGCTGTCTGCATTTCAGCATGAGCCTCGCAGTGCTGCTCTGCTTCTAACCCAGCGTGCTTCCCCGGGCCTCCTTGCCTGTGCTCCAGTGTTTGAATGCAAAAATTGGCTGGAAATGAGAAGTGTGGCAGAGGAGGGGAGCAGGCCCAGCCTTGGCTTGTTCTTGTGGCGACCCCCCCTACCCACACCACTGCTGCTGCTCTTAACACAGCAAGAGACACGCCCCGGGTGGAGGTGCACACAGGGCCTGCATTTTGCCGTAATCCTAAGGTTAAATGCTCATTTTCTTGCCATTCTAAACAAGCGGTGCAGAATTATTACAGGGCTGCTTGCATTTCAAGCCTTCTTCTAGGTCAGCAGAAGTATTCTGTGCCCCCAGGAAATGTGCTGGGGCCCTCAGAGTCTCCAGCAGTTTGTGGCACACAGCCCCCAACCCCTCCAACACACTTCTTCTGCCCCTTCCCTTTGAGGAGCGGCTGAGGGAGCTGGAGTTGCTCAGCCTGGAGAAGAGGAGGCTCAGGGGCGACCTTATTGCTCTCTACAGGTTCCTTAAAGGAGGCTGTAGCGAGGTGAGGGTTAGTCTGTTCTCCCATGTACCTGGTGACAGGACGAAGGGGAACGGGCTAAAGTTGCTCAGTGATATGGTTTAGTGGAGGACTGGTTAGTGTTAGCTCAGAGGATGGACTGGGTGATCCTGGAAGGCTCTTCCAGTCTAGATGGTTCTGGGATTCTGTTATTCCTCTTGTCATGCAAGGGATGGGGACAGCCAGGAGTCGGCACTGGATGGCTTCAGGACACACTGGGATGGTTTTAGGATAGCAATGATACTGCTTATGCCACTGGAGGTCAGTGGTACATTTACATACACTGATACCCATACAGCACAACGCAGCTATTACACTAACTCTGGTATTTCCTCCAGTAACAATTCAACCTCACAGTTATTTAATTGCAGAGATGCACGGTCTGTGTTTAGCTCTGAAGCAGTTTCTCTTGCTGTGATCGCTTGAGGAAGAGGTCAGCCTGGCGTTCTGGGATTCCTCCCCCCTCCTAGGCTGCTTTCCGCAGCCTTTCTGGGTGGGAGAAGAACCTGGGGTGAGTCAGGCAGCCCCCCCGAGCACTCCCCCAGCCCCACGCTCAGGACTGGCCACAGAGCTTCCCCTGCCTGCTGCACTTGCCTGGCAAGCAGTGAGACCTCGCGCCCTTGCACAGCTCATGGCCACAACCAAACCCCAGCCTGGGGTGAGCTGCAGCTTGGGCCTGATCCTGAATGCACCTGGACCATTCTCCACCCTCCCAAATGACTGTTTCAGCACTGCGGGTCACAGTGCACTGAAGGGCGTCTCTCCACACAGCCAGGCTCAGCATTTATGGGCATTTATGGGCATTTATTAGATGAGTTTCTGTAGACCCAGCGATCACATACAATTACTCGCATTGCCCAGCGAAGGCAGGGGCAGCACAGCCAGCGACACCAGCAGCATCCCACTGCAGAGGGACCAAGGCTGGCACCATGAAACCTCCCGAAGCCTGGAGAAGTTCCTAGAGCCCTGGCTGCCACGGGGAGGACAAGAGGCTTTGATCTAGGAAGCAGCACTCCAGGCTGATCTCTGGTCTGAGGGGGCACATCTCACAGTCCTTATGTTCCCATTGCTTTCAGCTTGCCGTGTCTTCAGACCAGGGAGGAGAGAGTCAGCGCAGTGGTGCTGCAGCAGGGCAGTGCAGCTCTCTGCCACCCAGCCAAGGTCTCCGGCTTCCCAGCACAACAGAGCAGCAGAGGAGAATTACACGTCGCCAGACACCCATTGCACTCTCGCAGCCTGTCAAGAGAGCAATGGCACGGGCCAGGGGAAAAGGTAGGTCACTGACGGGACAGGAGGAAACGTCAGGAGAGGAAGGAGAGAGTGATCTTCAGAGCGTGGCAGGAAAGGCACAAGAGAGGAAACATCGCCCGTCTGACCAAAGCCTTGTTGGCTAGAGTATGGTACAATACTTTTCAAAAGCTGTCCGTGTGTCTTTCTCCAGCATTTCTCGCGTGTAACACGGAGCATCTTTGTTCTTCTCTACCATCGCATCAATCATTTTAATGAGGTCTGCAACCTGCTGTTTCCTTCTCTGCTCTGCTGCTATGTTGCTGAAAGCAATGTACCTATTTTCACATTTTTCTGCCATCCCACTGAGGTACGTGCTTTTTTCCACGAAATCGCGGATATCATCTGGACTCCCAAGTTCTTCTGCTCGGGTGAATAACAGGATCGTGTACTTCTGTGCTTCAGTATGGAAAATCTTTGTCACCCACTCAGCCACTTCCACCTCTTCTTTACTGATGTGGGCCAGTTGCATCACCAGGATGATAGCATGCACCCCTCCATAGAAGTGACGAAGAGCATTTCCAATCAGTTCAGCTGTTTCCTTATTGGCTCTCTGGGTGTCAAAAAGGCCAGGAGTGTCGATAACGGCAATGTCTCTTCCACGGAATGAGGCAGTGTCTGCACTGTAGCTCTTGGTCACTGAAGCTGCTGTCAGTTCAGATTTAAATGCTTTCTTCCCAAGGATGGTGTTCCCTGTCGCACTCTTCCCACTTCCAGTTTTGCCCACGAGCAGGATGTTCAGCTTGGGTCCTGGGGGAACAAGCAGAGACACGTGTCTGAACCCCACAGCCCTGTGGTGCCGGGACACCCCCTGCACGCCACGCTCCCAGGGGTGAGAAGGAAATGGATTTTACTGCAAAAACACAGGAATTAGGGTTAGCGGCCCCTGCAGTGGTCCCCAGGGACAATCAGGAGCAACAAGAGGGACCCCAGGGGAGTCTGGATAAGGCTGCCTCAGAGGGCCAGCACCCAGACCTCTTCCAAAGGCAGAAAAAGAAAGTAGAAGTGCATGCTGCAGCTCCCCAGCAGTGCAGGAATGCACAGAGTGCTCAAACGGCCGGGCTGAAGCACTCCCTTTACAAGAAGTCGCGTGCTGAGCAAAAAACACCCACTGGATTCTGTGGTGGATCACCGCAGGCCCTCGGCCTGCCCTGCACGGCCCCAGCAGGGCCAGAGCTGGCTCACGCACACGGATAGCGAGGCTTTGGGGCAGGACTTTGCATCCTGCGCTGTGCCTCCGGCTGTAACCAACGGCTGCTGCCCCATGTGCCCTGAGCCTGGCACAGCACAGCCTAAGGAGTGGGAAGAGGAGAGGCAGCCTCGGGAAATCCTCAAGCCCGTGGCCTCCCCAGAGGGCCCGTGCACCGCGTGCACAAGCGTGCGTGAGGCTGCACGAGGACGCAAACCCAGCCTCACCCTCAGCAGCACTGTGCCTGGCTGACTGAATGAGGAGGCTGCTAAAGGAAAAGGCTGTGGGGAGACCTCACAGTGGCCCTCAGTGCCTGCAGGGGCTGCAGGAGGGCTGGGAGGGAGTCTTGGGCAGGGGGTGTAGGAATAGGACACGGGGTGATAGTTCTAAGGTAGAAGAGGGCAGATTTAGGTTAGATATTCAAAATCCTTCGCAATGAGGGATTTGATGCCTGGCGAAGGCTGCCCCCAGGAGCTGTGGGTGCCCCATCCCTGGCAGTGCCCAAGGCCAGGCTGGATGGGGCTGGGGGCAGCCACTCTGTGGCTCTGTGACCATGGGACTCTAAGCTGCTGCGTGCAGTGGGTAAGGCGCTCACCTTTCATCTTAGAGTCTGCCATTTTGAGCCCACTCCGAGGGAAAACCTGAAAGAAGAATAAGGGATTTTGAGCGAGGTTTGCCAAAGTCTCCCGTGCTCCCCCCATGGCGGTAACAAGGCCGATGATGGTCACGATGAGGGTCGCTGACACACCCGGTGTGTGCGTGCTGCCTGCTGTGTGTGCATGCAGGAAGTGGTTGTACAGCCGAGGGTAAACACACGCACCCACAAGATGGCTGCGCACCCCGTGAGGCAGGGAGCAGCGTTTGGCAGCCCCGCACCCCCTGCCAGGGGCAGGGCACGTTTCTGCCAGCCCCGCACAGCCCAGGAGCAGGGGTTGCAGGGGCAGGGGAGCGTGGCTGGGCCTCGCTGCACCGTGGTGGCAGATGGGGACAGCCCGGGCAAGGGCTGCGCCTCCTCAGCTTGGGAGGGGATCCCGATACTTTGGGGAACGAGGAGCTGGCAGGGGAACTCAGATCAGTCACTGGCAACCCTTGCAGTGCTTTGGGAAACCTGAGAGCTCGCAGAGGATGTGCACAGCCCCTAACTAGAGCAGGAGCCTCTGCCCAGAATCGCCGTCAGTTCAGTGCCCTCGTCCGGCACCTGAACCTCCAGCCCTGAGCCTGAGCGGTGTGCGGGGTCTGTCCCAGCCCCGAGCAGTGTGCAGGGTCCGTCCCAGCCACTGATCATGCCATGGGTGCCAGCTGTCACATCTCCTGCCCCTGTTTCAGCTCTGGACTCTACCTCAAGTGATTTCAGCAAGATAAACTGCTCCAAAACTAAGCACAGACTATACACTACTCAAAGTAAACTAAAATCACGTCACTAAATAATTCAGTCATTACTGGAGGAATTACCCCATCCACAGCAAAGCCACACCACTTCTCGGCTGTCTTTCCTCTGCCTCCCTGCCAGCTTGCTCAGGCTTAGCAATTCCTAAAGTACCCCCAAATACAGAGACCCTTCAGAGCCACCCGGTGCACAGACCGCTCACTTCACATGGCTCCAGCAGCAGCTGCTGTGCTTGCCTCTTACCTCCTCAGGTCACAGTGATCGGGCCAGGTGCAATACAGTTCACGTCTTGCCCCTGACCGTGTCCTCAGCTCTCTGCTTTCTGTTCCTTGCCAGCACGAGAATGATGCTTTTATCACCTAACCACACGTGGCACCCCAGTCCAAGCAGATGATCCACCCAGACCCATGGGTACCTGAGCTCTTCATTTGAGCTGAGAGATGCTCGTGCCCTGCTGAGCCCTGGGTTGCACCAACCAGCCTCCATTTGTGCCTCCGGGGCTCGTCATCACGGTAAGAAACAGATGTGCAATGAAACAACTAGAACCCGTGTCAGTTGGGAAATCCCACAACAGAACCGGCATGAAGAACAAACCACAGCTAAAACAGAAAGCTAGGACAGGTACAACATTGTAACACCCCCAAGAAGACTGTTCTGTCCACAAAACAAGGAAAAAATTAAGAATGGCTTCAGTAATCAGAAAGTATGTGAAAGGTTTATATGGCACACTTAGGGGGAAATATATTTAAAAGCTTGATTGTAACTTAAATGAGTCAATTTCTTCCTAGACACTTTAAGGCAGGTCGGAGAACTTTTTCACCCTTTTGATATTCCTATGGTGCAGACACCCTTGTGAAGTCAACGCTCCTGTGAGGACCCAGCGAGTGCTACCAGAACAGACACTCCTGAAGACAAGGAGTTTGTTAAATCACCCTTACAGATATGCAATCAGGATTTCCGTTCTCCAGGGACTTTCTGTTCTCACTTGGAAACAAAGACTGCCTGAACTTTACTTAAGGAAGTAATAACCCCCTCCCTGAAAGCAGGCATTACAACCTTTTTTTCTTTGTTCTCCCTGGAATGACAGTAGCAGCATTTCAGACAACTCACCAGAGGCACCTGTGCGCTTTTGTCCCCGAGTCTGAACTTTGCAGCTTCTGACGGTGACAGGTCTTCTTCTGTAGGTGCAGTGGCTGAAGTGTGGCAGCTGCCTGTGAAGTTCGGCAGCATTTAGCGGGAGTGGGAGTAGGAGGGGATTTCGGTGACGTGCAAACCAGCTCTGTTGAACAAATGACCGTGTACGAGCCGGTTAGGAGCTAGATCATGTGCAAAGTCATTGGTCGTCAAGAACAGAAACAGAAAGTTACTGAACTGACCAAGTAAGGCAAAAAAAGCTCCTCCCGATGAAGGGCGTTTTCGTTTGAGTACTTCTCGCCACCGCTCCTTTCTCACAAACAAGCCGTCCACGCTGCCTTCCTCCCCCAGACAAGAGCAGGGCTCATCAGGCTCAGGAGGCTTTTCCTGGAGCCAGGATGGGTGTTGTTATAAATGAAGTCTCAACTCTGAATTTAGTAACGTAAAAGAATATTTATAAAAGGCAAGTAAACAGTGCTGGGTGCGCGGGGAGTCTATGCACTACCAACACGCACACACAAACATCAAACATTCTAAATACATGTATACAGAACGTTGCTTTACATAATAACCCGAGTATGCTTATACATACATACAATCAGGATAGGTAACCAAGTAAGCAATCCTTTAAGTTCCATAACTTAACAGTCTCCATTTTCCGTTCCTTTTGAACAATGTCTTGCTTTAAGTTGTCTCTTTTTCAAGGCCAATAGGCCTGGGTCAAATGGCACGTTCAGGTCAACAGGGGGTGCAACAGCAAAGGCCTTCGATGGCTGTAGCAGCAGAGGGGCCCATGGTAATGGCGTAGCAGTCGGATCAGTAAACGAGCCCGCAGCTCCCTCAGTATCTGGCAAGCCACACGTTTCTGACTGTGGCTCCACATGGCTCTTTAAGGCCTCAGAGACTGCTCACCAGGTGCCGAGCAATCCCACCGCAACCGTGTAATTTTTAGTTGCCGTGTCCCACACCTTCACCTCAGTTTGGTCCCATACTTCAGGCTCATAAACTGTCCGATTGTTAATAAAGAGAATAAGCTGTAAGGTTACCAGGACAGTCTTTGCTCCTAAGGACAGATTCTCCATAATGCACAACTGCTGACCAGAGAGAGGCAAATGTGTGCACAGGTCTGCTTCTCTCAGCTCAAGCTTCTCTCCAGCTCCAGTGCTGCCTCTTTCCAGCGACTTTCTGTATGGGCTTCTCTGAGCGGTTTGCTGAGTCTGGCCGAACCTGTCTTCGTGAGGCAATCCATGTGCCTGCTCCCGTCCTGGTCTCCATTCTGCCAGCCTGTTCCTCTTCACTTTTTTTTTCCTGCTTCTTTATTGATGTAACTTCATGTTGCCTTCTTGTTTTTTTATCTTGAGGGCAGGCTCCCCTCTTATACTCTTCTCTCCACAGCAGTTCTTTTCCAAACAACTTTTCATTGGTCAGACAACTTTGAATGTAACAACAACAGCAAACACCCAGAAACTTCCATGCCTCAACAGCTGGAGAACAAGAGAACCAGCTGGAGAACAAGAAACCCCAGACTGCATGGAGTCTCCTGTACCACCCTTCTTTCTTCCCTCTAAAATCTTTTATATTCCTGTTGGCCTTGTCGTTAAGAGTCTAATGTTATCGCAGTCACAGGGTTTTCCAACCCCCATGGCCACATTCCCAAATCTCCCCCTTCTGTATTAATATCAACCATTTTCTCGACACAAATTACCACTCCATATATAACAGTGTCCACAAAACGAAATGTAATGGCTCAGTTTTTAAAGGTATGGGGTGGCTGCGCCTCCAGCACCCACGGTGCTGGAAAACGCTCCCGTTGCCCACGAGAGCACATGGTGAATCCCGAGGTCCATCTAGTGGCTGCTCCTCGGAGGCAGAGCTGTGGCAATCACGATTTTGGGGACCCCTGGAAGGTGGGCATGGGGCGAGATGGGAAGAAGAACGAGCAGCCATTAAATGCCTTCTGCCCCGGAGCCGGGGCTGGAGCTCTGCACTGCTGGGGCGCTCCCGTCCCCTGCCACCCCCACGCAGTCACAGTCCCGCTGCAGCAGGAACAACGAGCAGCCACAAAGCAGGGACTGCAGGCAGACGGGGCTAGAGGTGTAAGCAGGAAACCTCTGGCCCAATTCCTGCAGCTGACGGAGAGGGAGGATGACTGGAACATTTCCACCCCCTCCATCGTAACCGGATGATGCGGCAAAAACATCCCCAGGTGGGGAGATCACCACAATCCGTGTAAGCCCTACCAGAAAAGAAGTAACCAGAAAACCTGGTGGAGGAGGTAGAGGGCTCTGTGTTCGTGTATGTACCGCCATCCTGACCCAAAACACAACACCAGTGTTACAAATGAGGTCTCAATTCAATCTGAATTTTGTAATATTTATAAAACAAATATTTCTAAAAGGTATAAAAGGTATAAAAGGTATAAAAGGCAAGTAAACAGTGCTGGGTGTGCGGGGAGTCTACGCTCCACCAATATGCACACACAAACATCAAACTTTCTAAATATATAGCACATTGCTTTACACACTAAACACAAGTATGCCTATACATATGTACAATCAGGAAAGGTAACAACAATCCTTTAAGTTCCATAACTTAACAGTCTCAATTTTCCATTCTTCAGGCCTTATGTATCCCGCTCTTCCCAGATCAAAGAAAAGCATATCCATCTCCTTGTGAAGGCCAAGAGGCCCGAGCCAAAAGGCACATCCAGGTCACCAGGGGGTGTAACAGCAAAAGCCTTCAATGGCTGTAGCAGCAGAGGAGCCTATGGTAATGGCGTAGCAGTCGGATCGGTAAAGGAGCCCGCAGCTCCCTCAGTATCTGGCAAGCCACACATTTCTGACTGTGGCTCCACATGGCTCTTTAAGGCCTCAGAGATTCCTCGCCAGGTGCCGAGCAATCCCACCGCAACCGTGTAATTTTTAGTTGCCGTGTCCCACACCTTCACCTCAGTTTGGTCCCATATTTCAGGCTCATAAACTGTCCGATTGTTAATAAAGAGAATAAGCTGTAAGGTTACCAGGACAGTCTTTGCTCCTAAGGACAGATTCTCCATAATGCACAACTGCTGACCAGAGAGAGGCAAATGTGTGCACAGGTCTGCTTCTCTCAGCTCAAGCTTCTCTCCAGCTCCAGTGCTGCCTCTTTCCAGCGACTTTCTGTATGGGCTTCTCTGAGCGGTTTGCTGAGTCTGGCCGAACCTGTCTTCGTGAGGCAATCCATGTGCCTGCTCCCGTCCTGGTCTCCATTCTGCCAGCCTGTTCCTCTTCACTTTTTTTTTCCTGCTTCTTTATTGATGTAACTTCATGTTGCCTTCTTGTTTTTTTATCTTGAGGGCAGGCTCCCCTCTTATACCCTTCTCTCCACAGCAGTTCTTTTCCAAACAACTTTTCATTGGTCAGACAACTTTGAATGTAACAACAACAGCAAACACCCAGAAACTTCCACGCCTCAACAGCTGGAGAACAAGAGAACCAGCTGGAGAACAAGAAACTCCAGACTGCATGGAGTCTCCTGTACCACCCTTCTTTGTTCCCTCTAAAATCTTTTATATTCCTGATGGCCTTGTCATTAAGAGTCTAATGTTATCTCAATCACACAGAATCACAGAACCACAGAATCATCTAGGTTGGAAGAGACCTCAAGATCATTGAGTCCAACCTCTGACCTAACACTAACAGTCCCCACTAAACCATACCGCTAAGCTCTACATCTAAACGTCTTTTAAAGACTTCCAGGGATGGTGACTCCACCACCTCCCTGGGCAGCCCATCCCAATGCCTCACAACCCTCTCAGTAAAGAAGTTCTTCCTAACATCTAACCTAAAACTCCCCTGGCGCAACTTAAGCCCATTCCCCCTCGTCCTGTCACCAGGCACGTGGGAGAACAGACCAACCCCCACCTCGCTACAGCCTCCTTTAAGGTATCTGTAGAGAGCGATAAGGTCGCCCTTGAGCCTCCTCTTCTCCAGGCTGAACAAGCCCAGCTCCCTCAGCCGCTCCTCGTAGGACTTGTTCTCCAGGCCCCTCACCGGCTTCGTCGTCCTTCTCTGGACACGGGGTTTTCCAACCCCCATGGCCACATTCCTAAATCTCCCCCTTCTTTATTAATATCAACCATTTTCTCGACACAAATTACCACTCCATATATAACACCAGTGTCCACACATGAGACACAGAATGCAACTGGCAGCATGGCACTTCTGGCTAGATGAATCACAGAGTGAATCCTACAATGGTTTGGGTTGGAAGGGACCTCAAAATTTAGGTTTCAGTGTTTAATTTTGAACCAGTTTCTCTTGGTGCAATTGCTCCAGGGAGCGCCCAGAGATGGAGCAGGGGCAGGAGTTGAGGCAGCTGCCACCTGCATCACAGTCAGGGGCTGTTACGGACCCTGCACACCGCTCAGGGCTATCCTATCCCTACACCCTGCCGCCCAAGAGTGCTTCCCGAGCCCTCCTGAACCCCCTGCAGGCCCTGAAGGCCGCTGTGAGGTCTCCCCTGGGCCTTCTCCTCTCCAGGCTGAGCAACCCCAAGCCCCTCGGCCTCTCCTCACAGCATAGCTGCTCCAGCCTCCGAGCATCCCCGTGGCCTCCTCTGGACTCCAGCAGCTCTACGTCCCAGTGCTGGGGCCCCACAGCGAAGGCAGTGCCCGGGGGGGTCTCACGAGAGTGGGGCACAGGGGGACAATCCCCTCCCTCGCCCTGCTGGTTGTGCTGCTGGAGCCCAGGGCACGGCTGGTTTGTGGCCCACCATCACCCCAGGTCCTTTTCCTCAGGGCTACTCTCCAGCAGGTCATCCCCCAGCCTGTACTGATACTTCGGGTTGTTTCTTCCCAGGTGCAGGACTCGAAGTATCTCGAAGGCTGCCCAGGGAGGTTGTGGAGTCTCCTTCTCTGAAGACATTCAAGGCCCATCTGGACGCCCACCTGGGCAACCTGCTCTAAGGAACCTGCTTTGGCACGGGGGTTGGACCCGATGATCTCTTGAGGTCCCTTCCAACCCCTACAGTTCTGTGATTCTGTGAAGTGCGTGTGGTTCCGGACACCACAGTATGAAACGGACATGAAACTATTACAGCGTGTCCATGGGAGGGCTACAAAGATGTCAGGGGTGTAGAGGGCAAGGCATATGAGGTGCGGCTGAAGTTGCTTTGTTTGTTCAGCCCAAAGCAAACACTGTTGTCCTCTTGGAGAAGAGGAGATGAGGGGAGACCTCA